TGAATATATGTACCACATCTTTTTAATCCAGTCATCTACTTTTGGGCATTTGGGCTGCTTCCATGTTTTTCCAATTGTAGATAAAACAGCAATAAACATGGGAGTACAGGTATCTTTTGGTTTGTTATATGCTTAAGTGTGATTTTAGTGAGTTCAGATGTCGGATATTTTCCTATAACAAGAAACATGCCCCATTTTAACACATGAGTAAAACTGGAAATAAGAATCACTTAATGTATATATTTTCTTCTGCAAGTTTTATCAGGAATTACATAATTTTTATACAACAGGTATTATTAGGAACATCATCCAGACCTATGCTGAGACTTCTCAAACTTTCTGTGGAATGTATTGATAAGGAAATGAAAATAATGTGATGATCTAGATAAATTGACAGACTGAATTTCTGAAGCTCTGAGGATTCTCTGCCCAAAATGTGATTTTCCCTAATTAGCAGAACAATTTGCTTAAATTTCAAAAGCAGTGCTAGTAGATGTTAACTCAAAATAGATTAAAATAACAAATCACTACAACCTTTAAAAAGTTACAGTAATTTTGCAAGCGTACATTATAGAGTTGTAGAGAACTATAAAGTTGTAGAGAAATATAAAATCTAATCTTACATTTAAAAAAAAATAACCTGTAGTATATACTTTCTCCCTTTAATCACAGTAATTTTTTCAGATGACACTGCTCCATATTTCTTTAGGAAGATTCACTGCATTTTTCAAATCTCCTGTGTAATCTAGAAGTTGCCATTGATAGTTTTCAGCAAGAGGAAAAGAAATTGAATACAGAAAACTAGGCATCGTGGGGAAATTTTTTTTAAACCCTTCATCTTTATGGGTTTTTTTTTATGTTACATGCATTTTTATGAGTTGGAACAGAGAATAGTTCTTTTCATTCTAGTGAGTGGAGCTGTGCGTGACAAAATGTCCGCAGAAATGTGTGTGTAGGCATAACGATAGAAAATGACTTGGACTCTCCTGGAGTCTTAAGCTGAACTCCACCTTTAAGGCACCTGAAATGCTTATGGAGTCTTTACAAAGAGGTGAGCATAATTTGTACTTCTGAGGAGTCAATGAAAATAACATTAGTATAAAATTTGTCACACTATATTGCCAGGAGACACTTTAAGTAAAAGATAGAACCTTCCCTAGTGAGAGCACATGTATTTCCCCTGAATAATTTCTATACAACAAAGCTCTAAAATGGAATATTTGCATTCCTCACTGCTTTGTTTTTTAGAATTTACAGAGCTCAGTTAGCAAAAAGACTGCTTAGAGGACACATTATAGCCACAGAGGATTATCAGTACCGTTTTTTAGACAGTTATCCGACGCCAAATTACTATTTTTGCTCATAATCTATAAAAGTTAGAGAACGAGCACACTGTCTGTATTCTCAACTACAGTTGCACCTTGCTTTATGCAAGAGAAATAGGCAGATTGAATTTTGGTAAATCAAAGGTTGTATAAAACACATTAGAAGAGCTGACAAAACCAATTAATCCTTCCGTGAAAGTCTTTACTAAAGTGAACAATTATCCCCCAGTTTATATGCTTCAAAAATCCATATCCTCATGCACCAAATTTGCTCAAAGTGAATTGTATCTCTTCTCTTACAAACATTATCACACAGATATATATATGTGTATTTTAAGATTTGTTTATTTATGCATACAGAACTGGAGTATAGGCCAAAGGTGCAGGGTGGTGAGAGATTGGGGAGCAGAACAGGCCGGCTGATGAAATACATACACAGCTGAGGGGAGGAGCTGGTGGGTCAGGAGAGGTCTGCTGTACCATGAGGGTCACCTCCAGGGCGGGGATCAAACTCATGCTAAAGGGGCTATAGCTTCTTATTGCTGTGCTTTAACCGGTTGCTCCACCAGGGAGGGCCCAATATTTTTATATTTTAAAAAATCAGACCTCCAAAACAAATAGCCTGTCAGCTCTTGGTATAAAGTTTTGTACAGGTTTGTTTGTAGGTTGAGAAAGATATACAGTCAAAGACAGTTGCTGTCTTTATAGTGGTTTAAGTGGTTTTTCTTCTCCATTCTTTTTTCATCAATTTTCAGTTAGTTTTTCCTTGAATGCTATGCGGCTTGCTACATTTACTTCCTTTGCAAGGTGATGAAGATTTTCTGGGAGTCCTTTCTGACCAAATGACTTCAGTTATTTCAGTGTTAGTGTGATCTGTATCCTTCCAGGTTTGTTTATGAAAAGGGGAGGAAGGTAGTCTAAACTGCAGCCAGGCGAGCATCAGCTAAAGAAAGCAAAGGTTTCCTGCAAGTGGTTATTGAACATCTAAACTGTGTTATTAAGGAAAGTTCTTGAATCTCCTCCAGAGTGTATTTAGATAGAACTGACTCTTTTTGTATATCAGATATGTTTGACAGATGACTTCGTGCCGTGTGATTATTTAATTTGGACGTTACAACTAATATCATCGAGGCTTATTTCTGAAATATCTCAGAAATGTCCAATATTAAGAAGCTCTCTAGAAATTGGTCACCCTCATTTATCATTAATTAACTCACACATTCAGTGACTATTAATTGATGTCTGTTGTACTAAGTAAAGCTGCCATTCGGAACTGTTTTAAATCAGTCACAGTGCTTGGCATACTATTACATTCAATCCTTGTAACAATCGTAAGGCAGCGTACTTTTTATCCTGTTTTTACAGCTAAGAAAACCAAAACTTATGTAAAATTAAACCAGAATTCTGGTCTGTTATTTATTGACTTTCAAGTCCATGATAGGTACTTATGTTGTCATGCTTCTTCCCTATCCTGATAACCTTAAAGATAAAAGATAATCTCTGGCCTCCAGAGAGACTAAGTAGAAGAAATGGACAAGGAAAGAGATGATTGCAAGGCAATGCCAAGGTGCTTAACTAAAAACAAACCTTTCAGGGTACCTGCCACTGGTGCGCAGAGACTTCCCAAACTTCTGGGAAGATAGGCTAAGTGAAGGCTTCCTGGAGGAGAGAGTCCCTGAGTTGAATATGAGTTCCTCAATATATTATTAATCTTTGTGATAAATGTGTTAGTGTCTGAGTTTGCCTTGCCTATTTTTTACTTGTAGTCTGTTATTTTATCATTCCTTCACAAATAACACTACCTGGCTTATAAATACAAGTGATCCTATCTGTCATAGATCTTTCATGGGAGTAGGAGGAACAGCTTTACACAAAACAATTGTAAACTATATGTATATTATAGTAAGTGGCGTGAGAGAAATGTTGGTTCTCTTGAAAGAGTGTAGAACCTCGAGGCTTCCCCTAATGTGGGATGTGGCGGAGCAGCCGCAGTTGGGACAGTGGTCAGAGTTCACTAGGGAAATGGCATTGATGCTAAGACTTACTCAAGAATGACTAGAAGTAGGGAAGACATGAGGATCTTCAGGGGAATCAAAACATGTTCTAGGCAAAAGAACAGCATGCTCAGTGAACCAGAGGAACTTAGTTTGATAAACTGAAGTTCATTCACGTAACTAGGTAGTAGCAAAATACACTGGAAAGATAAGTATGGCTAGAAGATTGTTTGGTGGTCTTTTAAGTAGACTATTATAAGCTGCCTCACAAGACTAGAACATGGATTTAAATTTAAACATTAAAAATTATAGTGCTTGAAAAAAAAATAATAGTGCTTGAAAAATCCTCTTAAGACCATCAGTTCATATTCTCAACTTTAATGTGTATATCAATTTTTCTTTTGTATTCAAACTTCTTTTATTTTTGCTTGTTCTTGAAAATAAAATGGTATACATAGTTTAAAAATTAACTACATATCTCTGTTGAATTTGGAATGCTCATTGATTTAAATGCAAGCCAGTCTTAAATAGAGAGAGATTCTGACAAAGACTAAGTACTATCAACACAATTTTGAATCTCAACTCTCAGTTTTAAGAAACACATATAATGTAGTTTTCAAGACCACCGTATTATTTCAGAAGAGGTCAGGCAATTAATCATGGTCATCACATTTCTAAGCAGTATTTCAAAGCAAACAGCCAGGGTTTGATGTTATTTTTAGTTTTTCCTGGTGATTCTGGTCATCTTTAATAATGGACAGACACGGAGAGGGAACACAAAATGTATATCATAAGTTCCTTCTTTTATACCAGCTTACTCAGTATAAATGAAATATTGATGCATTTGAAAATGCCCTAGTGTTCAATAAAGATTTTAAATAAAACTACCTAAAAGTTGTGGTTCTTAGGTTAATCATTTATTTATCTAAAGGATGAAGGAAGCTGTCTACTTCTGTGATATGAACGGCAATCAGCTTAAAAATAATTGACAAATTAATCCCTTCACAGCACAGCAATTGTAAAGGTGTTAGTTTTAATTAGGCCTGTCTGATTGCCTTGTCTAATCAAGAATCAAGGTGGTATCTTTGATGGTTAAGGTCTATTGGGGCCATCCCTGACCTGCCAGCCATGTATGTTTTAATTATTGATTCTTCACTTTTTCAGCCCTTTTCACAAAGGGACTTGAAGTTTGCAATACTTTAACATTTAAAAGGAAGAAAAATAAACATTTCCCCCAACACGTCTAACTGGAATCCTTGAATCCTCTCTATTAATCCACAACTCTGTGCTAAAAAAAAACTGTGAATTTGATGACAAAGTCAAATGCATGTTAGGATGCTGTCTTAAGGTTTCCTTGCCTCCACGTATTAGGTTTTCAATGGACATTATTAAGGTGTTGGCAACTTGCCATCATTTATAGTAGAAAACGCATTTGATTGTTTTTTTGTTTTTTGTTTTTTTGATGGCTTATGTTTTAAAAGTTCAATAAAGGTGGACATAGTATTTAAGAAATCGGGCAAAAGGGAAGCATACCTGCTCATGAGTCACCTCCTTATCTACTGAGAAGGAACACGGTGAGAGTTCCTAGGGCTGTTGTAAGCAGCTCACAGCCTGCTGGTGTACTTGAGCAGCTACTGGTTTGACGGTCCTTGTACCTGACGCCAGTCTTCTGTGGTTGCAGGTCAATGAAGTAACGGTGGAACAACTGGTGCAGCAGTACCCACACATCACCTTCAGCACCGTCCTGCAGGACTGCAAGAGGACCTTGGAGAGAGCCTATCAGATGGGCTGGACCCCCAACATGTCTGCTGCCTCCTCCTAACACTCCTGCCCACACCACGGTCCACAGGGGATCATTCAGCAGGGCAGCGAGAAATTGTAGATTCGGCGTGGATGATCTCTTGGAAGGGTTTTAACTGTCACATGTCTATATGTGTACCTGAGTGCGTGTATTTGTGTCTTGTTTGCATCCTGCATAGCATATGCTCAATTGCAATTTGTTCCCAGATGAACTGATTTTTTCTTAAAAATTGAAGATTTTGAAAGCTACAGACCTTTTAGTTTTTAAGTTCAAAGATTTCTTTCTCTAAAAGAATTTTTAACCATAGAATAAAAAGAACTGGATTATTTTTGAGCTTCTAATTACTGCCACTTAGCTATGCCCCCAGAATAAAGGCACCTGCCTTCTGTTGGATAGGATAAAATTCGAATGACCACCAGAACGGAAGTATTGTTGCACTAGTCAGGAGCCTGGAAACTAGTACTTTCCGGAGTTTCAAGCACACACATACACACAGGTTCTCACACTTTGTCATACAAACACACCGGTGTGTGTTCACATCACCAGGGCATTTTCTTTCTTGATGATTTTTCTGACAAAGGGGCCTTCCTCCAGGCCAGCAAGGGACCACATCCTCCACTGTGGCTCTGCTTAATGCTGAATATCCACAAGTGGCTAACTTGCTGTCCTGTGGATGACTGAAGGACTGGAGAGAAAAAAAGCTTTTCGTAAATGTTTTATAGAGGCAGCAATCTGAACTTCCCTGATCAGCTCTCAAAAGTTAATTATTCATTATTCTAAAACTGTGTTCTGTTAAGTACTAAATATTTTAGTTGACTTTTATGTTAACATTGTGTTAGCTTTTATTCCATGGGTAGTAACCGGTCAGGATATATTTTAATGATATTTAGAGCTAATCTCTACATCATCCATATTAAAGCTACCAGTGTAATTGTATGCAGTTATCAAAACTCCTACAGATTATTTAATTATTTCTGTTATTTGGTAATTATGAAAGTATATTTCTGAGATTTGGGCATAGTCATACCAATAAAGATTAACAAGTGAGGTATAAGTAGACAATCTTTAATCTTTTTTTTTTTTGGCTTTGCTTTGGGCTTTAGAACTGGTTTTTTTTGACATATGCATGTTATCATTTTTTTAATAGTTCTTATGCTCCTGCAAAGATCTATTGCTGGTTAATGTGTGAGTTAAGAAGAAAATTAGAAAATCTGTTCATTAAAATTCTGTTTACACTTGTTAGAAGTAAGCATTTCTTTGTTTAATTAAAGATTGCCAGCTTTCAGTTAAGACAATATCTATCAGTAAATGAATTGATTTCACACATCCTTACAATTAATTCATGTTAGGGACTCAGGCTCAAATAACCTTTCCTGTGTCTAGATTTATAATCAAGACAGCAGGGAGCCTTTTTAAGCTAAAGTGATTATCTTTCACAGTAGACCTAGACACAAAACCCTGACTTGTGAATTTGCTATTTATTCTTCCCCAGTGTGGACCTAACTGTTTTTTGGTCTTTATGAGACATACTAAGATTTAAGTTTCACTTTCTTTTCGCCTCAATATTGCTAAAATGGGATGCTAGCTGTTAGAAACAACAGATAGCTTTGCGTTTGAAGGGCATTCATTTATTTATAATGACTCCTTTTTGTGTGTGTAAGCAATCAGTTTTTCTTTGATTATGTCAACATGTTTCTGATGTGGCGTTTTTCTTTCTTTGTTTTTAATCCAAATAAGTTAGGAAAATATGATCAGTGGGTACCAAGTTGATTTTTCCATCACTAAATGGGTCCCTAGTCTAACTTTAAATTTGTGTAAGAAAATAATAGATGGTTGCCATTAATAAACTGTAGTTCTTCTTATACATCAGACTGTATCACTTTCATACTCATTTGCCCACCACTGAAACATCTTAATTCACACTATTTTAACTGGTTTTTAACCCAAAACTAATTTATAAGACAGTATGTATAGTAATAGTAGCTTGAGTGAATAAGCAAAAGTTTAATTTTTATATATGTCACATTATATTTTAAATAGTTAAAAGACAAAAAGAAGGGAGAGCCATTGATGATATAGATAGTACCATTTCAAGTTCAAAGTTGTAATAATCTTTGGAGTGTTACAGTTTGGTTGTCAAAGGATTTCAGAAGTGTAGAATTGATTTGATTTTTTTTTAATGTTGCATTGTTTGGATCTAAAGTACAGCACTATAACATGCTTTAGCTTGGGGGGTGGGGGTAGGGGATTGCACTTATTCTTTAAGATATTGACTATTCCAGAAAGCCTGATGCAACATAACCTGGAAAACTGCTTTAGTATATTTGTAGAAATCTGTAGAAATATCCAGCCTCTGAGCACTAATCTCAAAATACAACTCAAAAAAGCAACACCTTGAGTGATCCTGTGACGGTTGTTAAATGTGTTCTCATTAGATGCTTTGAAATGAGGCTTACAATGATTTTTCTGGGCAATATAGAGTTTCTTTTTTTTTTTTAATTTTTTTTGCTTAGAATGTCATAAATATATGTGAACACGTTTAATGCAGGGCTTTTTATCCTCTCCAAAATGTCAACAGTATTTTCAGAATAAAGACTATGAAATATATTGCTGTAGTGGAAAATTCTTGTCCTTTGTCTTTAATGTCTTTGAGTGGATAAAGGAAATTCACCTGGTTTGTAGTTTCTATATTTCCGTGAATCTTTTGACCTTGCAATGGGTTGCAATAAAAGAGAAACAAAACACTGTGTCTTTTGTTTTATTTTAGAAACAATATATGGTCTCCCTGTGATGGTTTGGTGTGATACATGCTGTGATCCCATCCTTGCGTGTTTCATTATAGATTTTGTATAAATTTGGCTCATCCAGAATAATAGACTGGGTTGGGGGTCCTAATGTGGCCAATGATTACTGAGATAATGTTAAACCTCAAAGGTTTAAATATGTTTAAAATTCCATTCCCTACACACTTACTCATTTACTTAAGCATGTCTTCAATTTTTCAAAATTAAATAAATAAAATATTTATTGGGTAAGAGACATGTACCTGGCACTGGGGATTTAAAGATAAATTAAACTCATTCCCATCATCAAGGTACTCACAGCTTAGCAGGGAAACATTTTTAAAACTAGCAGCTGCAGTAGGTATAGTCACAGTGCTGATGGGCAGCATGATCCGCTTCCACAGTGAAGAGCTTTGAATGAAGTTGAAGCAGTAGCAGGAATTTACCACACTTAACTTTGGGGAAGATGGGAGATAACCTGGAAAGTAAAAAAATATCTGGGAAAGGCATGAGGGTGACAGGTAACATGGCAAGTTCAAAGTCTTTGAGGTAACTGAGTAGAATGGGAGGATTTGCTGTATAGAGATAGAGAGTGGGAAAAAGTTGTAAAGAAAACTGAGAGCAAACTGAACTTCTCATGGCCTACTACAGAGATTAGGTTGGTAGGTAAGATCACACCTGTGAAAATAATTTTATTCGAATTTCTTTTAACAAAAATTTAAATGAAAGCTTAATATGGAAGGATGAAGTGCTTGAAAGATATTCTGCTATGTAAGCTGTAATTTTATCAATGTTATGTATATATTTTTTAAAAGTTATTTATTTATGTATACAGAACTGGGGTACAGGCCAGAGGTGCAAGGACAGTGAGAGGCTTCACCAGAGACAGAGTGGGGAACAGAAAAGGCTGAAAAGTACATTGCTGAAGGGGGCAGTGGGTGGGTCAGGAGAGGTCTCCCGCACCATGTGGATTACCTCCAGGGTGGGGATCGAACTCATGCGGAAGTGGCTTTAGCTTCTTAGTGATGTGCTTTAACCCACTGCACCACCTGGGAGGACCCTCAGCATATGTATATTTTAAACCTTTTTAAATGACTGGATGTCCCAGAAAGAGTGGGAAATCAACCTATAAAACAGCAAACTGTCTCCAGGCCAAACATGATTAGGGGCATATTTTTGTAAATAAAATTATATTGAAAAACAACCACATGCATTTGGTTTTGTATTTTCTATGAACACTTTCACTTTACATCTGTAGATTTGAGTGGTTCTGATTTTGATTTATTATCTAACCCTTTATAGAAAAAGTTTGCTGACCTCTGTTCTAAAGGAGTTGTTCTCAAAGGTTTCTCCAGGCCAGTCACATCAGTATCACCTGAGATACAAAAGCTTGGGCTTTACTCCAGACCCTCTAAATCAGAAATGCTGGAAATAAGGCCCAGCAGCTTGTGAAATTCCTCCCAATGATTCTGATGCATGTTAAACTTCAATCTATAGAGAGACGTAGAAGCTACCAAAATATGGGAGACTATATTGATCAGGATGTGATCATATTGCCTAGGATGTGTGAAAAACTTAAGACCAAAGAGTAACAGGAAGTTGAATCAGAGTTCTCCTCAAATAAAGCCAATCTCCTCACATAAAGATGTACAAAGCCCATATCTTTTTAAAAATGGTGAACTCAAAACAAAACTTGAAGAGACAAAAGGTCTATTTTCAGCCTTAGCTATTCATTGGGTTTGGTTGTTTTTAAGGTTCTCTTGAAAATATATTACCGCTGGCTACCACTCACATGGGTTTGTATCCACCTAGTTTTCATTGATAGTGTTGCTTTAAATTTTATTTTTTAAAGAATGTATTTCATGACTTTTCAGTGCCAAAAAAAGCAGACAAAAATCATCCCTGGAAGAAAGATGTCCTCAATTCAGGTCTCCAAAGAAACCCCACAAGTGGGAGTGCCAGCAAATATAAAGTCAACAATCTAAAATCACAGAGACCTATAGGAAACCAGCCTGCATTATGTAAGTCAACTGAGAAAACAAATATCAGCCACATATCCTCAAGCGTTTCCATATTAAATTTTCAGAAGCATAATAAAAATAAATGCATGTGATGGAGCTTCCATATGATCCAGCAATCCCACTCTTAAGTAACTACCCAAAAGACACAAAAACCTTCAAAAAGACACCTGCAACCCCATGTTTATTGATGCTTTATTTACAACAGGAAAGACATGTAATCAACTCAAATGCCCAAAAGTGGATGACTATATTAAAAAGATATGGTACATATACACAATGGAATATTACTCAGCAATCAAAAAGATAAATCCATGCAACTAAGCTCATGCTTAGTGAAATAAGCCAGAAAGAAAAAGAGAAATACCAGATGGCTTGACTCATAGCAGGATGATAAAGGACCAGGGGGGTGAAATAATAATAATAATGAACAACTATATACCAGAGATATTTTCCAGGGATGGAGTGGAGAATGGGATCAAAATGGGGAAGGAAGTGCCCAGGACCATGGTGATGGCACATGGGTGAATTGGTGATGGGGAGTACACAGCAATTACAACTGAGATGAAAAAAAAGGCATAAAATGGTATAAAATTAAACTATTATAAATAAATAGATACCGATAATTAAAAATAAAAATAAGTGCATTTGATATAAAGAAAGATAAAAGTTATTTGATGAAGGCCTTCCCTGGTGATGCAATGAGTTGAAGCATGGCACTAGGAAGCTAGCGTTGGTTGCTTCAGTAGGAGTTCGATATCTGGCCAGGAAGCTGATCCACATGACTTGACAGACCTCTCCAGCCCTGCCCTCTGCTCCCCTCAGCAATGTACTTTGTAAGTCTGCCTGTTCTGTTCCCTACTGTCTCTGGTGAATCCTCTCACCATCTCTGCACCTCTGGCTTGTACCCCACTTCAATATGATAAATAAATCTGTTTTAAAAAAGTATTTAATGCATAAGAAAAAAGAAACTACCAAAAAATGATGAACAGGTACATATTTTAAAACTAAATTTTTTAAAATTAAAAATACAAAAATTGAAAATTAAAATGGGATGATGGACTAGCAGAAGAAGCTCAGAGAAAAAGGGGGATTTAGGAACCGGACCGGCGGTTTTGGGCAAGTTAAAAAAAAATTTTAAAAATTACAGGCTTTTTTTTCTTTATATGAGTAATTTACATATGGAAGATTGAGAGGTTGAGATTGAGACAGTTGGAACAATGTATGAGAGCTCCCGAATTCCTGTTTAGTTTTTTTTTTAAAGATTTATTTATTTATGCATACAGAACTGGGGTACAGGCCAGAGATGCGGAGGGTGAGAGGATTCACCAGAGACAGAGTGGGGAGCAGAACAGGCAGATCAACAAAGTACACTGCTGAGGGGAGCAGCGGGCGGGTCAGGAGAGGTCTGCCACGCCATGTGGTCACCTCCGGGGCAGGCGGGAATCGAACTCATGCGGAAGTGGCTTTAGCTTCTCAGTGCTGTGCTTTAACCCGCTGCGCCACCAGGGAGGGCCCCTGTTTAGTTTTTTAAAAGAATAGGGAAACAGCAATGTTTAAAGAAATAATGGGGTTTACATATGATATTTTCTTTTTTCCTTATATTTATTTTTATAGCACGTGCGCTCTCTTTATACACACACACACACACATCACTCTTCATTTAAAACAGTGTTTATATCCCCCACCCAGTGTTCACATCCCCATAGAATTCCCTCCCCCAACTCTCCCATGCATCATCACTGCAGTCCCTGTGCTTCTCCCTCCCCCTCCCCTGCAGGATGGCTCTGATTCATAATCGTCTGGTTTTGTTATGTTGTGTTGTATTTTGTATTATTATTATTATTATTCCCCCTATTTCTTATTTGGCTCCCGATCTTCCTCCTATAAGTGAAACCATTCAATATTTTTCTTTTACCTTTTGACTTATTTCATTGAGCATGATCCCTTCTAGCTCATCTATGTTGCTGCAAATTGTTTAGTTTATCTTTTTTCATTGCTGAGATTCGAAAGTAGCACAAGTTCAATATTGTTAATTCTAAGATGGCATCCAAGTATGTTGAGCTTGCAGTGGGGCATGTGAATTCGTTGAGAGGAGAGGTGTACAGATGGTAAATAAAAGGGCATTTAAAACCATGAGTGTCCAGGTCAGGGGGCAGGAGGAGTCCAAAGTCCGGGATGAAACCTGTGGGAACAGTAGTCAGAGAGCTGAACAGCTGTTTTTCCAGAAACTGAGGAACTATACAAGCTGAAGATAGATGTTACTTAACACAATTTGAGAACCTCTGAGAAAGAAATGAACAATCAAGTTACCTTTGAACTTTGCACACTGGAAACAGGAAAGGAAAGGTTTACAAAGGAGGCAAGGGACACTCTACACAATGCTGGAGAAGAGAAACAAGTCATGAACCTGAGGTGAAATGGAAGATCAGAGAGCACAGAAACATATTTCTCTTCAATTGACTACTAAAAAAAAAAAAAGAAAAGAAAAAGAAAAGAAAAAAATAAAAGACCCAAAATGGAATCTTTCCTCCCCAGCCCCCAAGCAGACTTAATACCTAATCTCTGCACAGGTGCAACCTCTTCTAAAGTGTATCCTAAACTGATCAAGGGGAATGTCATCATCACCTGTGAAGTCATCTGCATGACAAGTGCCCCCATGGTTTCTCCTGAGGAAAGGTGGCTTTACCTGGAATAATCTGTTCTTTTACTAAGAACCTGTCTTCCTTAACCTCTGTCTTTCAATACCCTTCAATTTATGTCACCCCTTGCAGTATGCAGAAGGTGTGCTGCTTAATTCATGAATCATTTAATAAAGTCAATTAGAGCTCTAAAAATAAATAAATAAATAAAATCCTGAGCCTGTCTGAACATTTCTCTTGATCCTCATCCATTAATGGAGGTACAAAGAGAAGGCAAAAGATTGTGT